CGAGAGCTAAAGAGAGCAGACTGCTCCGTGCGCTTTCGAATCGCTCTCGCGGATGATAGATCTGCGCCGCTCCTCTTCTAGTCGAACACACCGGATTCTCTTAATGAGTAATGGGTGTTTTTTGGGCGTAATGTGCAATAAACCAATCAGAGTCTCATCTCCCATCCCCTTTAAAAGCCAGTTGCGCTCGCCCCATGGCGGGTTCGCTATTTACATGGCGGAATGTAATTTTTCATATTTCAAAATGTTTGTGTGCTACTGCGCGTCCCTGTGTGTGTAATAAGCAAAGTGTACGCGTGTTGTGCACCCGCCTATAGGCGCATATTACTAATGCTCTCTTTAAATAACAAAGAAAAAATATTGCGCCAGACTTTAGACCAGGTTTGAGTTGGTCTATGGCGCAGTCTATTTTCAGTTCCTCAAAATAGCAACGTGCCAACAATGCGCTTGAACACACCTCTTTTTTAGACCAGCACGCACATGGGCGCACAAATGGGCGCAAATGCATTTGCTATTTAAACAACGCGGCGCAGGATGAGAAAATGAGAACTGCGTCAGGCTGAAACTAGCAAAAACACTTGCGCCGCATTGCGCCGGGTGTATGATAGGGCCCAAAGAGTTTAAGCTGTTTCTGGCTGTATGTAGCTCAAAGATTTGGCCATTTTTTGAATCCGAAGGCAAATGAGATTTCAGAGCTTCAGCAGAGAGAAAGATTATCAGTAATCAACAACTTAAATTAAATTAAACTCAGTTCTATTGCTCTGCAAGCACACGATCAGCTTTCTTTATATTATGCTGCATTGAGTTACTGAATACACTCTGCTTTTAAGAAGACCCACACACTCCAAAAAGATGATGTGGATAGTGAAATCACTGGTCTTTCACAAAGTCTGGGCCCTGAGGTCTGTTTATCTGTGCATATTTAACAGGTGTGCAGTGCTGTGCAGAACCAGGACTTCACAGTGATTGAGGACTACTGTTTAGGCCTGAAGGCGCTGCTGTATCTGAAAAGCATAGAGGAGCTGCACGATTGGGACGGCCAGTCTCCTCCCACCATACGCCATCAGAAGGGCAAACCCATCCCCCGCGTGGAGGAGCTCGTCGGAAAGGTGAGCATCTCTATGGCTAGTCGCCTCAGGCTCGTTTTAAAAAACAAAACTCTCTGTGGTGTTTTTTCTGGTTAACCTTTAGTGATTTGTGTTGCAATTAAAGAGGCAAAATCCGCCTGGTGTGGAGATAATGCTTTATTGAGTCATGAAGGATGTTTAAGGTTGTGGGTGTTAGTAACATAGCCGCAAGGTTGATGCTGAAAGGCGTGAGAGTAATTTACTTTCCTCTGCTTGGCATGAAAGAAGCCCCAGGCTTCAGTGACCCCATGACCATTTGACCAATGGTGGCTCTCAGCTACGCTGTGCTGTAAAATGTGGTGTGAAACCCATCTAGTTTTGCACAAATCTAACAAATTATTCTGTGATCGATATCAACGAAGTGTTTTTTCTTCTTCTTCTTTTTTTTCCATTTTGGGTTTTAGTTGTGAATTACATTACACGCAGAAAGCACAAAATGTGAGGGTGCTGAAATGTTAGATAATCAAAGCTGGCGTGTTTTTCGACAGGAATTACCATATATTTATTTTTAATATCACTAAATTATTCGAATTGTGATTATGTTTGTCTCTCTCTTGGTCGCAGCCAAACTCAACCCTCCATTGAAATTTCACAGCTGCACAAAGAGATATTTTCCCCATCACTACACCGTATTCACGCAGCATAAAAGAAAGCACACAAACATATGCAAATGTTTCTCTCTCCATAAACAGCTTTGTGCTTCTGTTAAAAGTGATGGAGGGGGAAAATAAGTGCTATTCCTCGACTACGACATGATTTTGAAAAACATGAGGGGCGAAATCTCTCTCTCTCTTTCGTGCCAACAGGGTGTCTGTAGAGCCCTGTCCAGAAACAAGCACACAGTTTTGCAAAACTAGGAGTGGGAGGAGGGTGTTTAGACACTTCCATTTGCTTTTATTACAAAACATTGGAAGATCATATTTTTGTCAATATATGCAAATACACTGCAACAGACATTTTCTAAATCATTTTTTCTCTTGTCTAGTAAAAGTTTCTAAACGTCTTTGAAGATGAGAATGATAAACTTTGTAATTTCACAAGATAGACTGTAAGGGGTCCTTTTATGCTTTTCACTTTTTGTAACTTTAGCATAAAATGATCTGCAAGGTTACAAAGCTCAAAGTAGATATTACTACAACGTGCTTCTTCTGGATATTGTGAAGTCACAATGTTGTTCATTTAAATAATTCTGGCCCATGGAATACACAAAAAAAGGGGCAGAGGCCTGCTTGAGCTGTGCTAGAGAAGATGAAGAAGAGCTGCTTTAGTAGCATGTTGCTGCTATGTCACCAAGAGACGCTGTTTCTTCTACCCCAGTTCCAAAACCCCTTCATTTGTGCTTGCAAAGGTTCAGCACGATCCTCTTGTTCATAAACATTCTCAGGGTCTGAATCTGTGCTTGAATTGGTATATGGCAAAATATTTACAGCTAGGCCTGTCGCGATAATTAAATAACCGTCTAATCGCGATTATTTGATCTAATTTGATTATTGTGCTTTTTATATGGTTAGATGTGCATAAGCGCTGCATGTTGCTTCAAGTGCACCATTCTGCACCCTGGATGTGCATAAGAGCTTTGTGCCGCTCTGTTTGAAGCATTTCACATTATCAAAGTTTTGCACACCGAAAGATTATTAGAAGCTTTTATTTTTCTCATGATGTCTATCTTATTTTCATGAATGTATTTTGTAAGAATGCAAATAGTTAACAGAATAACGTTTAAATTGAATAATGTGCACCAAAGATTTTTTTGCTGCTAAATTATACAGGCAGCTAGTTTAATTTCATAGCTTATATATTTTTATTCAAATGTAGTTTTTCTCTGTAATGAGGAAGTGAGTATTTAGTGGATTATGTTTAACAAAGGATTTAAAAAATACTCTATGTAATATTTTTGGAATACTCTATGTAATCTTACACTGCAAAATAATAACTCAAAAAAGATTAAAAGATAACATCATAATTATTTACTGAACCCTTAAATTAATCACAATTGTATAATGAAAGCCATAAAAAACAGACAATTAATCGTGATAATCGGCATAATCGCCAAAGCCCTAAAACAGACAATTAATCGCTATTACCGTGACTATTTTTAGACAATTAATCGTCAGCCAAATTTCATAATCGTGACAGCCCTATTTACAGCTGAGCAGATGAAACTCACAGTTATGGTGAGGGGCGTAACATTTCCGGAACATGCTCAAAGTGATTCGCAAATCACAACACAGTGGTCCAGCTAACCAATCAGAGCACATTTCTTGTTTGGAAAGGAGGGGTTTAATTGAAACAGGAAGTAAACAGGCCATTTGAGACATGCTGGGAAAAGAGGTGCTACAATAATGTAAATTTGTGACCCGTGCTGGCAAAATGAGTCGGAATGCGCACAGTCTAATTTTGAGTTACAGACAAAAGAAGTGTAAAAATGTCAGCTTTGGTCGAATAACTTCTAGCGATCCCTATGTTCCAAATAGTAAATAAACATCTAAAATGATCTTTATTTGTACAGTTTCTGAGAGGAGTACCTTTTTCTCTGCTCACTTCTGGATGACTACTGCTGCTTCTCACCACAAGTAACTAGATCTATTGTTGCAAAGCGCAGCATTCCAGCTTTGTGAATATTCATATAGAATTCTCGATGACATGAGTCCAAACCAGTGAAATATGATTTTCGCTGACTGACATTTGCAAAGCGCATGCAGAAGACGCGCCTCTCCGGGAGCGCACAATTTCCCTATAAAGTACATTATTGAAAAATATGTCTTGACGGGATTCACACAAACATAATCTGTTATGTCTTACATGAACGTTTAGTTAATGATTGGGAAAAAAATCTGATGAGTAACATTATATTAGATCCATGCATTACAGTAGGTCTTAGATCTGTCTCAATGTTAATCAAACATTAAAAGAAAATATGGAATCACTCGCTGCTCTTGATTAAACTACTGTTTATTTGCATCTTTGTTCTTATTTTTAATAACAAAAATAAAATAGAAATTGCTATATTGTGATTAATAATATAGTAATTATTATTAAGAAAAGAAGATTATTAAGAAGATTATTAAGAAGACCTATTCTAGTACACCCCGTAAAACAAATAAAGACTTCGTAAAAGGCATAATAGGACCCCTTTAAATAAATATTGATTATACAGTTATACATTATATAGTTTATGCTTATCATATTATAATATATTCTTTAAATGTAATGCATATTATATCTAAACAAGTCTTAAAAATACATTTTGAATGTAAGTGTTATTGTTTTTCAGAATTATTGGAAAGAAACTGGTTTTAAACAAATTATATAGTAATATGAGAATGTTTACATTACTTATGCTAAGTATTATATGAATTTTTATTTTATTTTAATTTATAATTAAATTTTAGGCATTATTTCATTTGGTTTATGCTCATATTATATTATATTATATTATATTATATTATATTATATTATATTATACTGAAAATTGAAATAGTCTACTTATTTCAGATTAATCAGTTGGGGTGAGTTTGTGTGTGTCTGTGTGTGTTTTGTGATATACAGTCATCATTATTGTAAGGTCCGTCTGTGCTTTTCATGGTCCAAATCATGCTGGTCACACAAGTCCAAGTTTCCAAGAAGGAGCTTTAGAGAGTTCCTGCGTGTTGAATTTCAAGGAACTCTGTAGTCCTTAAGCAGCTCACAAAAAAAACAAAAAAAACATGCAAAGCAGGTCCCAGCACGCGCGCACACACACATGCACTCGCACTGTTATCTGAATGTTTGCTGCTGTTCAGAAATGGAGTGAGGACACTGGCAAAAGGTTTCCATTATCTTTGCACCCTGATGAGAGGAGACACAAAAAGAGATGTGTGGTCTTGGCTAATACAGTATTTCTTTCTCTGGCAAACAAGAGCAAATTCACTGCCTGGAGCCAATTAAAGTGCAGAGATCAATGCCCACCATGATACCAGCACTGAGCTCCTTACATTAACATGAGCTTGGGGGATTAATGTTTTGTTATTTTATTCTGTATTATTTCGCACCATTACATAAGAGGATCCTGTAAATTGAAAATATGCTACTGGAAAAAATAAGCCAAACTTTAACTAATGAACTTTCACTGATTATAAGCTACTGTATTTGGTGTTTAAAAAATAGTTGTGAATTTTATAAGAGCTTTTTACCCGTTATGTTGTTGTAACATAAGAAATAATATTCAGAAAAATCTGTTTTTGAAATAGAACGTTTTAACTGATAGTTCAGGCAAA